GAAATGAACAGAGAGGAAAAAAAAAAAAAAACTATCTCATTTTTTAACAGACTGTGAACATAAGATACTGTTCCATGCTGCCTCCCACGGGGCAAGGTGGTGAACTAATCATGTCCAGACCCACTAGGTCACAGCCAATAATTAAGGCTCTTGGTATGGGGGTCTGTGTGTTGCAATCCTGGAGTGTGTCAGGACGGATTTTCCATAAATTCAAGAAAAGGTCCTCCAGCACCCTAATTTCAAATCTATATCTTAGCTAATTAAGAACAGTATGGCTCAAACCAACGCATCACTTCACACCTAGTGTGTGGACAATGTACCACCACCCTGAGTGCAGGAGGAGTGAAAACCTTACTTTTTTTTTTTTTTTTTTTTTTTCTTCCTGTTTTTAGCTCTTCCAGTAACTAAGATGTTTGCTGGAGAAGAAACACAGACACTCTTGCAGCCTTATGGTCAGGGTGACAAAGAAAAGCATGACAAGGTTTGCATAAACTTGGCTCCAAATATCTGACATCTTCGCATCACGAGATAAGTTTAAAATGCCACAGAAAGCAGTTCTTGCCAAAAAGATGAATTCTCCCTCTCACAAGTGTGGTGTTGATGGATGTTGGAAAAGTTGGACAAAGATGCTGAGGAGTCTCGGGAAAGTTTTGTTTTGTTTTGGTTTTTAAATAATGGAGGTTAAGCCCCACATGGTCAAGTACAGTTTACTTGTGGATCTCATTAAAAGCAAAATATTACATCACAGTATTTTCCACAGCCAAGATGTGATCTCAGGACTTACCATGCAAGCTTGATTAGCCCTGTTTTATAAAGAGAAATTCTGAAGGACAAAGAAATAAGAAGGTTCTACAATTTAAAAGTGACTTGGGTGTCTAGTGTTGTCTTTTGGTTTATTTCATATGGTAAAAAAGTCCAAGCCAAACACAAGCTTCTAAAATCATTCTGAACAATCCTGAAAACATGTAATTTAAAGTTCTGGGATTTTGATCCTTGTTTTTATTTCAAAAATTGCAAAACCCGGGCTTCCCTGGTGGTGCAGTGGTTGAGAGTCCACCTGCCAATGCAGGGGACACGGGTTCGTGCCCAGGTCCGGGAAGATCCCATATGCTGCGGAGCAGCTGGGCCCGTGAGCCATGGCTGCTGAGCCTGCGCGTCCGGAGCCTGTGCTCCGCAACGAGAGAGGCCACAACAGTGAGAGGCCCGCGTACCGCAAAAAAAAAAAAAAAAAAAATTGCAAAACCCTCTTCATGTTCTGAATATTCTTGAATTATTATTCTCGCACTCGTATTGAGAATTGAGCTGCATCTCAACTTAGTTGCTGAACTACTTTACAGCTGCTTTTAAAAAAAATGATCTCTTTAATGTATGTATTTAAGAAAAGATTGTGTTTTGGGGTCCTTTTTATTTACCTGTACTTGCATAAATGATTACAAAGAGAGGTATAATAATGCTGGATGCAGTAGTTTTGCTCTAAAATATTGCTTTGCTCTAACATCATCCTACGGCACAGCTTAATTAAGATCTAAATATGTAACTTCAATTCAATTGCAGCTGAAACCAGAGAAGAGCAGCAATTCAAAGTCTGAAAGAATGAAATTAGGAATTACTATACAATAACTATACAGTAATCATTTCAGCTAAATATCAAATTCATTATCAACAGATGATTTTTAATACATGTATATATTTCTAAAACACATAAAGGAGATACCTAAATCATCCCAATAACAACAAAAAAGCAACAAATATAACTCAACTGAAAATAACATGACAATTATGATTGATAATTTAATAACATCTCAACCGGAACTCTACAATATTTTATAAAATCATAATTTTTATAAATTTTTCATAGAAATCTTAAAATTCTTAAGAGCTTAATATTTCCTTCTGCAACTTGATTCCAATCGTGCAGAGTCCAAACCATAAAATTAGCCTCTTAGTTATTCCATTATTATAACTATTTTTTTGCTCCTCATTGGTTGAGTGAGGGGGAAAAAACAAGCCTTTTAGGTGAACAATTTAGGGGGTTTTATTTCATATTTTTCCTGCATCACAGATGGGGCAAATATTTTAATATCATGGGAATTATTACACATATTACTTTTAGTGGGAAAGTACTATAAATACAAATGATTAACTTGTAATAGTATAGAAGACCTGAGAAAATATGTGTGAGATACTAAACATCATGACAATTAATACACACAGTGTCTATCCATGTTTGTTTTCTCTTTTACCTCCCTTTAATTTATCTCAGAATATACTAAAACCGTTTATACTGAGTAGTAGACACACAAACTATTAGTGATGTGCTCTGATAAGATACAAGTGAAGGGGATTTTTAAAGTATTAGCCATTCCATTATGTTGAATTTCCATGAAGTATTTTCCTGCAAGCCGCTGTACATGAAACTGTTTAAAACAGTGAAGGTTTCCCACTCCTGGGACCACACTTAGAACCAGGACTGCCCTGTCCCACAGAATGGCTGCAAAACCAGACTCTTCCTCCGGCACGTGACTGGTTTTGACTCCTTCAGTGCTGACCACTGCCAATGATAAGCACGTTATTCCCTCCCATAGCATTTTACAACTTGGTGATAATATATAGTAAAAGATGGTTTTTGAAGGACAGTTAGCAAGTAACCATGAAAACGTCTTTTTAAAAGAAAGTACTAAATTTAAATAACACATTACCCGATAGTCAAGTTATATGCTTCAATTGAAAACTTATGTATTTAGCTGACTTACTAACTTTGAAATGTAGACACATCAGCAAAATACTACATCACAGTATTAAGCATGCTTAATTCCTCATTGCAAGTCACATTTTACTTGGTCAAGTGCATATACATACATATATATATATATATATATATATATATATACACACACACACACACACACACACACATATATATGCAGATATATATATATATGACTTAACTTACTATCCAATACCTGTATAATGATGTCAACATATCCTAATTTTCTTTCCAATTAGATTTAATAATAGAATAAAACCAATGAAATCTTATCTTTTCCTGTTTTACAATGAATTCCATCTTTCAGTGAGTGATTTCTACCTTTTCAACTTTATTTTGTATCTGTAAGAAAGTATTAGTTTTAAAATCATTATTTAGGCTAAAAAATACTGAAGTATGCAACTAACATTCATTTTACGGCACATACTGCCTTTTGTTTATTCTTGGTTTTAAAACTGCTACCTAGGACTCTCAAGCTGGAATGCCACAAAATCCCCATCAATCTCAGGTATTCACTCTTCAAGGTATGAAACTTTGAGAAACAGCCCCTTCTCTTGCTGCTCCATTCCTTTCACACCCACTGATTTTTCACCTGATATTAAATATCATTTGTACCACAAAAGAATCAGAAACAAGAAAGCTGTTTTAGAGATTATAATAACAAGCCAGAGAGTTGGTTTCCCATACTTTATTTTTTTTATGCCATTGAACAAACAGATTTCTCATTAAGGGTCAAAATCAATAGAGCTGGTGGGAAAGTTGTAAATATCTCATTAATAAGATTAATTAGTGTTTTATGTTAGCTATCCCAGCAAATAATCCAGATGGCTACTGTTAATTGAATTAGCAAAATTCAAGGGAAAATCATTTTGTTTTTGTCATTTTATCAATATTGGAAGGGAAATCTTAATAATAGTAATTTTAATAATTAACTACTAATGTTAACAAAATCTCACTTTCTCTTAAGGGTTGGAGAAATAAATGATCTATATAGGGAAAAAAAGTTTCACATCCAAAGTATCCACCTTCGTTTTTTTTATTGGAATGACAGAATATACTTCAAATCAAAGTTATACCCCTATTAGAAAGGATGACAGAAGTCAACAATGAAATGAAAGCGTGTCAGCGCTTCCCCTCAGAATTCCAGTCCTGAGAAATTCCACTTTATTAAGTATAAGAACGAATATTTAATTCCCATAAATAAATATCCCTGTCGTCCACAACGCCTAAACGCCTTCTGTGTGCGAAAGGTACATAGTGTACATGGGTGATGACCCTTGAAATTAAGAACATTAATATTCCGAGGTGATGTACAGGACCAGCTAAAGAAGTGTTACATCCATATCATGAGGAAGGCTTCACTCTGTTGTTAAAAGTTTAATCGCAGAAGCTAGTTTATTAGTAAACAAGGAATTCAACAATATTGAATCTCATCAACATTTTGTGAAGGATATTTTGCTTTATTGTTAAGAATGATAGTTATTTTGATCCATGCTAAGATGTGATGAGCGATGCACGCACTAAGGGACTGCATAGTGTGTGTGTGTGTGTGTGTGTGTGTGTGTGTGTGTGTCCACTACGTGGTGTTTTGGACATGAAGGTAAAACTTATCGCCAGACTGCGAAACTGAGCGACCTCCTTAGTAACTGCCTGAAGACCTCCCCACCGCACCTTAGCAACAGCGAAGGAGAAAGAGACTTTACGTTTCCACAGGGCAAAAAGCTGTTGCTAAGCAAAAATTACAACCAAAAATATAGAAAACTGTAACTTGGTTTTTGAGAACCCCTTTACAAGTTTCACGATTTAACTGGCCCAATTCACTTTAATACAGACACGCAAACTCAGTGAGAAGCAAACAGAATTCCCTGAGACTGAACTTGTACCAAGCCCTCTCCCACATCCCACAAATAAGCACGGTTAGTTACTTTTCATGCACCTCAAGCCAAAAGTCAACCTAAAGATCAGCGGTGAGAGGTTATGTCTTCCTCTTGGCCTCTCATCCTTCTTTTCTAGTTTATTTGGCATTTCTCCCATGTCATTGATCGCGACCTTAAAACGGCTACTTGCTTAAACCCCAAAGTGTCTGGAGTCCTGTAACAGCAGCTCTGCAAAGACTTGGGAGCGAACCCAAGGATGCCGCACACCTGCTAGCTGTGGCCGCGGCTGCAACCTCATCAGCCTCACCAGCCTCACCAGCCTCCTGGGATCTTTCCCAGGTAAGCGCGGCACTTACCTGCTGCTCTCCGGGCTCCGTCGATTTCACCAGGTGCTTATCCTTGTACAGCGACCAGAGACCGATACTGGGCAGGAAAATTACAGCCACCATGAATAACAAAGTCATCTGCAGAAATCTCTTCTGTTTCCTCTTCATCGCAAATGATCACACAGAAGAAAAGTTAAAGGAGATGGTTCCCTGACCGCCTCTTGTGTTTAAAGCCAAAGTCCTTTCCTCTCCCCTGAGAAGCACCAGAAACTGAGGAGAAGCTAAAAACTTTTGCTGTGTGCTCAGCACCAAGGTGCACGATTCAGAGGGAGTTGGGCGTCTGCAGAAGCAACGCAGAGTTACTTTCCCCCCAGAAAACTATGACGAAGGCATCATCTATTGGCTCAGAAGTAAATGACTTGACTGGGGAAATCATTCAGCCTATCGACCTCCCACTAAAAGAGCAACGGAGTAAATATGATCGTTTCAGAGACTAATCATAAGTTATGAAAAGGTCAATAGCATGCCGGATACGAAGAAAACGGGGGTTTGGAGGGCTGGGCTGGCGAGGAGCGGGTGAGCAGGAGATCTGCGTGGGAAGCGGCTCAGCCCGAGCAAGTGGCAGAAAGAAAATGGTCCGCTCTTGACACTGAACATCACCTTTTCCGTCTTCCCTGCACGTCTCCTCCTGCGCTCCCCCTGGGATAACCCACCTGAACTCAAGTTCAAGTCCCTCCGCGGCCAGCGCGCTGGCGGGCTCCCGGGGGTCCGGGCGGGGAAGTGGGGTCCGGGGCAGAAGTGCTGTTTGGAGCGAGGTCCGCGAACTCCCGGGCGCTCACGCACGGTGCCGACCACCCTCGTCCCCGGGCAGCGGCTCGGCGCCCCGGCCGCCCCGGGGCGGGAGGCTCCGGAGGTCCGTGGAGTCCGGCCGGGAGGCGGCGGCGCCGCACCGTCTGTGCTCGCCCGGCGCCCGGGCTGCTGTCCTCCGCCAAGTGCGCGCCCTGACCATCAATCGCTCCCTCTCCTCGGCGACGCTCTCACGCCCCGGCGCTCCCGTTACCATCCTCTCCCGGCGACGGAACGTGCCCCGAGGAGCATCGCCGCACCTGGAGGGCGATGCTCTCACGCTCCCCGTGCCGCGGAGGGAGGGTGGCGCCCGAGCTGAGCGGGCTCGCGGGGCGCGCGCGCGGAGGGCGAGGAGGCAGGGGCGCGCGCTGCTCCCGCCGCCGTAGCCTGGTCGCCTGCCTGCGCGGGGACGAGGCTGTGCCGGCCACGTGCGGGAGCCCGGGCCGAGTGGGGAGGCAGTCCCCAGCTGCCAGCTCCTATATAAGCCCGTCGTGACGCCGGGAAGCGGAGGACGGTGACGCCGCCGCGGGACCGGGACTCCAGCCTCTCGTCTCCGCGACCTCCTGTCTCCGCCGGGGCCGTTCGCGCGACCTCGGACCCGCGGGGAGGCCGGCGTCCCCGCTCGCCTCACCCCGAAGGCGCCAGGCCCGAGACGCAGGGGGACAGGGTGCCGGCTGCTCGCGGTGTTTCCCCGGGCTCCTCTGGGGTGCCGGCGGGCTCGGAGGCAAACCGAGCCCGGCGGTCCCGCCCGGGGGCTCCCCGGCCGCCCGGCCAGGTGCGCGTTGAACCGGGAGGAGGACGGGGACCGCGACGCGAGGCCGGGCGGAGGCTCGGACTCTCTCGGGCAGCGGCTTACGGAGCGACACCGCGGAGCCCGGGCGGCTTACCTGGGTCTGCAAGCGCCCGGGCCGGGTGAGATCGGCGGTGCCACCCCGCCCGCGCGACCGCACGCCGCGCTCCTGCTCGCCGCGGGGCTGCCTGTCCCTCTGACCTCGCACACCCCTGCCACGGTCCATGGGCCGAGTCGGGGTCGAGCTCCGTCTCGGGCAGGAGGGCCTCCATGCTCTCCCCAGCATCGGGATGGACCACCGCCCCGGACCGCACACGCACGAACCTGTGGCCGCGTCTCCAAGGAACCTGCGGGCCTGGCACGGAGCAGGGGGACTCCCGGGCTCCTAACACCGGGCGGAAGGGGGACCTGGAGGAGGCGACAGACACGCACGCAGCGCGCGCTGTGTCCGCCTGTGCGGAACCGAAAGCAAACGCCAAGGTCATCACTTTGTTACAACTAGATGTGATGCCCACATGCTTGGGGGGGATGAGAAGGTGGGTCCAGAACGGTATTTTCTCCCTCTCTCCTTTCCTGCATCTCCTTCCCTCCCTCTCCCTCCCACTTCTCTCTCCTGTCTCACTTGATAAAGACGTAGATGTATGTGGGTGTAAAGTTATGCTTTCAGCTCCTCACATTATAATTTTAAAGTGTATCTGAACAGTACCTATTGACTGACTGCATGAATAAAGCTTTGTGCTGCAAATTTGTTTCCGTGAATTACTTGCATTTCAAAAGAGTATATAAACACATTTAATAAATATGTCTGAATATGTCATTTACGTAAAGACCAGTTACATTTTCATTTTACACAAGTGCCACTTTGGAATCTGGAGAGCAAGGGATTTAATTCTTCACCCCCCCCCCCCCACACACACACACTCCCTTTTATACCCTGCATTTTCTAACCTTTTTCTCTTTTAACAAGTGCAATTCTGAAGCATGGAACTATGAATTCTGGGAAGCAACATAGCAGGGAGAGGTTTGCTGGGATGATGGGTCCTGAAAGAAAAGATTCTGGAGGACTATTTAAGTATTTTGGATATTTTCTGTCTTGGAGATAGAGTTATTAACAATTAAAAAGTAAAAGAACTCAAAAATGCCCTTGGACTTAGAAAATTAAAAATCCCTCACATTTTAAATAATATCAGTTTCTTTATACCAAAACCAAACAAGCACACAGACAAAAACACAAGTCCTGATCACAAACAGACAAACAGACACATCATGCTGGTTGCTAAATCCAGGATTCTGACTTGTGCTTCATTATTGTTACACTAGTGAACAGTCCTGCAAACAGTACCCACTCCCGGCACATGGTTACTTACAGTGAATGGGTATAACTGTTACTTCCCACAGGAAGTACATGCAGAACACATGGCAGAGACTGGAGGCAGAAAATTATTATGTTCACCCCTGCTTTTACAGTGTAGCTCTAGACAATCATTCCCCCACCCCTCGTTTTATTTATTTGTTTAGTTAGTTAGTTATTACCTCTTTCATGATTCCACATGTAAATTTCTAACAGATGACAAGGCTTCTAACTAAAATTGATATTTTAGGTTTTACAAACAAAAAAAAACCCTCTAAGTGACTGCTAATTCCTTTGTTCAGCTAATCCAGATTAAATACCAATATAAATAAAACAGACATATTCTTTTAAAATTGGTTATTAATATTGATTTAATCAAAATCCTTCTATCTTTAAAATTTGTCCTAGAACCAGAGACCCCCTTTTTACCCCCGTTTGCTCCTCCATTCTGTTATGACTCAATGGGCAACCTCAGGGTATCAAAGTACCATGTGCCTAGCACTGTGTTAAAACCTACGGGGACACATGGAGAAAAGAAAATAAAGCAATAACTGGGACCTTGAATAACTTACCGTCTAGTTGATAATGTAACATGAAGGCAACTGTAATGAAGTGCCTAAGCTCAGGTGTTTGCATTAACTTTCACTTGAGCCAGGTTTAAGCCCTACCTTGAAAAATGCAGGAGGCTGTTGCTCTAGTTAAGCTCTGCTCTAAAATTTGGTGACTTAAATATTTGACTATCTCTCAAGATTCCACGCGTTTGCATAGGCTCAGCTAGGTGGTTCTGCTTTATGAGATGTGGCCTGGGGCTGGGGGCTGATGAGGTCAAAACATTGGGCCCAGATGGCGCCCCCATGTGCTCGGCACTTGACACTGACTGTCAGCTGAAGATCATTTGGGGCGGTCAGTAGTAACTGAACTTGAAAGAAAAACATTTGCTCATGATTTGGCCATATTAACAATTTTTTTTCCACATTTATTAGTTTAATGCTTTACATCTGAAAACGATAAGCCTGGTGAATGTCTCTTGTTTCATAAACCAAAGAAAGGTCATCAACAATCTCTGTTTGTGTTTTTACCTGAACACTATAGATTCACAAATAAGCATTTGTTAATAAATATAACAACATGTTATAATAACGATGTAAGAGAAGATTAAAAATAATTGATTTTAAGGTCCTACGATAGTATATTATCTACATTTTTAAGAGGTGATGTTGAAATTTATCAGTGAAACAATACCTACTTTTACCTAGGGTCTTAATATGGTTTGAGTTTATTTAGATCTGAGTTTTTCCAAGCTTTTATCAGAAGGCACAGACTCTAGAGCATAAAGGTAATGTGTCTAGAAATTGAGAAATATTCTGTTATTTTATCCAATAATGATATCTGCAATATAAAAATATTGAATTTTTTCCCTCTGAGTAAACAATTAGGATACTTTGTTATTAGTATACCTTTGGCTAAGTTACCTCAGTTTTTTGGGAAAAAAAAAAGATCCTCCAGTGAAAACCGGAAAGTGACTATCTTAATAGTAATTATAATAAAAGTAAATTTAAATTATACTATTTATTTTGTGTGATTATATTAAGACACATATTACAGGAATCTTCTTCAATTTATTTTTCTGGAATTTCAGCGTTTGCCATTACACAATAAAGAGAAATAAGGGTTAAGATAAAGAGAAATAAGGGTTAAGATAAATATTAAAATATTAAAAATAAGGGTTAAGATAAATATAAGATAAATATTAAAATTTCCAGTCTCTATCATCACTGACATTCTTCACCAAAAAACCCTAGTCAATTTATATATATTCAAGTGCTGTTGGGCAGAGGATATAGAGGTGAACATTCTCACAGAGTTTTCAGCACCAGAAAGGAGTTAAAAAGTGTTTGCAATTAAGTGTGGTACAAATTAAAAAGTGACAAATGCTAAAAGAAAATGCAAAAGGAGGTTATTTCTTCCGGGCCTAAATATTTTCAAACTACACAAGTTCTTTACAGTATTTAAAGTCTTAGTCATCAAATTTACCTCTAAATATACTTCTTCCTCTGCCAACAGAATATACCTTTACTCAAATATATTTTCTTTCCCTACACATTTAATTACCAAATATTTATTTAGCATTTACTATAATGCAGACATTTATACCAGCATTTCTGAAGCATTATGTCATTTAATCTTATTAAGTATTCTATTCTGTAGGTTCTATTACTGTCTCTACTTAATAGCTTAGAAAACTAAGCCAAAAAGATGGTAAGTAAGTGGGAGGGCAGGGATTAAAACCCAGGTATTTTGCTCCAGATTCCAAGATCTTAACCAGTATACCATATTTACCTTGTTTTCCTGA